GTGCTTAATGAGGGGCTTGTATGACAAAGGAGGTGGTGTGTAAGGAAAATTATTTTGATTCAGTCTTATTCAGCTGAAGATACTGAAAGGGCAACTAACAATATTGCTTGATAGTTACACAGTGCTGTTTTATTTAGCACTCTACTGGTTGCACATGTCAGAATAACAGTTCAAACTAGTGTATTGGCTTATTGGCTTACTTAGTTATTGGTTTATTTAGCAGTGTTAGCTTCAGGCACGACGGGATCCAGCTGCACTAAGAATTGCTTCTGTCTCCTTGATCTGGGTTTTTTGTGTTGGATTCATTCTTAGGCTCTGTCTTCAGGGAATCCTTTAGTAGCCCTAGGATTTCATCTCATTCTTAAAATAAGATGTCCTTTCCCAGTAGATTGTTGGAGCTGTTTTGACTCCGACTGACCTGGCTGGCTGCTAAGTCAGTTCTTGTGGCCAGAAATGAGGATGGGGGGATATAGTATGCTAATTGGCCAAATCAAATGATAACCTTTCATCAGGAGGTGGGGATAACCGCTTCACTCTGTGCACATGGACTGAGGGGTGGATGTGGCCTGTTCTCAGAAGGAAGAACAGGACACTGTTAACTAAGAAGAAGGGGTCTGGAAAAACCAGTCCATGACACCGGGCTAAGTAATTTTTCAAACATTTTAAGTTAACATTGCCTCATTTGATCTTCAACACAACAATTTGTGAGAAGCGTTGTTATCTACCAACCGTAGGTAAAGAAGCTGTGCTTTAGAGAGGTTAACTGGCCAAAGGTAAGACTCTGGTGTTAGCAGAGGAACTACTAACTACTAGGATTGCATCATTCAGGTGTGGCTGTCACCTGGGGCAGTACAAGTGTAGGCTTGTGAGCAACACCAGGCTTGAGGCATCGATGGAGAAAACATCTCTTGAGTTGCAGGTGTCAAAGATGATGACCACAGAGGTGGAAAGTGTAGAGAGAGGGGAGGTCAGGAGACAGAACCGAGAGAAACATCCACATTTGGGAGAAAAATCTGAAAGAGATGCTAGCCAAGGAGAGTTGGAAAGAAGTCAAAAGAGATAGGAGGGGAATGGGAAGAGTAATGTGTTAAAAGACCCCAGGTAAGACTTCATAAATGTTTATTATTTTGTGCTGAGAGTGTCATAAAAGCTAAAAGGAATTTTGAGTGAAATAGGACCGTGGTACATAGATTTTTGAAGGCTATATATATAAATGAAGAAAGAGCACTGATTTTGCATGGATGGCTAGCACTAGTTGTTTGGTGTTAATGGTGATAATACTAATAATGACAGCAGCTAACATGTGTTACATATATTACATATAACAATGTGCTTTTTGCTTACTAACTCCTTTACTCTTCAAAATGGTCCTATAAGGCAAGTACAGTTATTATCCTTATTTTGCAGTTGAAAAGAGTGAGGTACAGAGAGGTGGAGTAACTCTGGTCCAGTTGGCTCCAGACTCCGTTTTCTTAACCACTGCACTTCACTGCCCTTTCTGGGCATAGATCGGCGTGCTTGGGTAGCACTGAAGCAGGGCAGGTTAACAAAGGCCATGCTCTTTCTTCTTTCTCCTGCGGAACAAATTTCAACCCATCACCTAAAAGAAAAAAAATTTTTTTTTTTAAGTATAGAGTTTGGCCTTTACTTACTTTGTAGTAGAACAGTTTGAAAGTACTTGGGAAGAGC